GTCCTGGCTGTACAAGCCTTTCGGGACCTTCGGGCTTCGGAAAAAGCCCTAAACCCTAAACCCTAAACCCTAAACCCACTACACTTAAACCCTAAACCCTAAACCCTAAACCCTAAACCCTAAACCCTAAACCCTAAACCCTAAACCCTAAACCCTAAACCCTAGACCCTAAACCGATTTCTTGTGAAGTCCGCAGAGCAGGTTTGCACAGACAGCCCGTGGAGATCTGGGTTCTTGCCCATGGCTTTCTTCACGGCACCGTTTCTAAGGATTAGTATAGGGGCCTTAAAAAATTGCCTTTTCCTTATTTTGGGGGTTCCTGATGATAATTCTCTTATTTTGGGGTCCTGATGATATTTTTCTTATTTTGCGGGGTTCCTTATTATAATTCTGGTACAATCGGCCCCAAGACCCTATTGAAATTGTTAAGGCCCCTATATAAGACGGTTTCGGGACAAGTTTAGGGTTTCAGGGCTTCGAGTCGGGCTAAGGGTTCACGATCTCCGAAGGATTGAAACAGGGGTTCAGCTTAGTTTAGGGTTTAGGGTTTAGGGTTTAGGGGTCAGGTTTAGGGATTAGGGTTTAGGAGGATTATCATGGGCATCCGAATATGAAGGCTCTTAACCAGAGCTGGTTGATCTAAACGAAGGATCTGCATCAAAGAATGTGCCTTTTCTCCTCATGATATCATGGTAGCTGAAGCTAAATCCTTTCACTGTGAAAACTTCATAACCCCTGAACATCCATTGAAAACCTCTGCGAGGTCACTTGTACGTCCTTAAGCAAGAGCCCAGAAGCCTTACCTGACATCTAAAATCCTAAACCCTAAATGAAACAAGGCCCTACGTAAACCCTAAACCCTAAACCCTAAACCCTAAACCCTAAACCCTAAACCCTAAACCCTAAACCCTAAACCCTAAACCCTAAACCCTACCCGTATGCCTTTACTAAAGTCGTTTTGCTAGGGTGAGGCAGAGGCTGCTCAGTCAAAACGAAATCCGCAACAGCTGAGGGCTGTTCTCAACCAGTTATAGTAGTAAATGTTTAGGGTTTAGGGTTTAGGGTTTAGGGTTTAGGGTAACAACAACTCGTAATCCCAATAGTCATAGGCATAGTCGCAGTCGCAGTCACAGTCACAGCAACAGTGCAAGTGCTAGTCAGGTCCTTTTGAGGCACCAACGGGAATACACGTCTTGTACGGAGATCTTATGCACATGCAAGTTGGGGACAGGTCCCTAAACCCTAAACCCTAAACCCAAACCCCTAAACCCTAACTTGAACAGTTGCCTTGAGCAGGAGGCCTCGTGCCGACACGCTTCTTGCAGGACGAGCGTTTCGGGTTGAGGGTCTGGGCTCTTGGTTGAGACTTCTGGGCATTAATACAGGGGCCTTAATAATTACCAAAACTATTTTGGGGTTTCCTTTATTATAATTATCGTATAATATACCTCAAAACCTTATTCTAATGATTATTAAGGCCCCGACATTCTTTGGTGGAGCGAGGGGGAAGTTGCGCCAGTCGCTCTGTGAATCTGGTGTCCCAACTCCAAACTCAAACCCCGGAGCCCGACGCCCCAAAGCCGTAGAGCCCTGAACCCTAAAGCCTACTTGGAGGATCATGGGACTTAGTAAGTAAGGTTATAAGTGCCTTAATTGGGGTTATAAGTAATTATAAGTATAGTTACCTAAATTTTTAACCCTACTTACTAAGTCCCATGATCCTTTAAGTACACATCACCTCCTGACATGGCCTCGGGAAGCTCAGCTGGCAGAATTCCAACCCCCGCCCCGATTCAACAACAAGCTCGCCTCGGGGAGGCCTACTAAGAGGATCAGGGGACGTAGCAAGTGCGGTTAGAGGTACCTTGATTGGGGTTATAAGCAGGTGTAGCTATACCCTTAACCCCAAACCCTAAACCCTAACCCTAAACCTCAAACCCTAAACCCTACAAGCCCTAAGCCCTACAACCCTAAACCCCAGACCCTACAACCCTAAACCCTATAAACCCTATAAGCCCTACACCCCTAAACCCTATAAGCCCTAAGCCCTATAGAAACCCTGCAGCCCCAACTTCCTCCCTCCGAATGTCCAAGCAGAGACCCTAAACCCCTATAGATCCCTTTGAGGACCCTAAACCGTAAACCCTAAACCCTAAACCCTAAACCCTATAGATCCCTATAAGGAACCCTATAGATCCCGTTTCAGGATCCCTAGAAAGGAACCGAGAGGCCTCCCCCAAGCCAGGCCAGGGGAGCCGATCCCGGAGACTCCAGTACTCCTTAATGAAGGGTTTAGGGTTTAGGGTTTAGGGTTTGGGGTTTAGGGTTTAGGGTTTAGGGAGGGATATTCCTTCAATTAGAGTAGAATTCTTAATATGATTTAAGGAGTATTCCTTAATTAAGGGATATTGGAGTCTCTGGGATCACGACCAAGACCAGCGGTTTTCGGGTTTTAGGCCCTTTTAGGGTTTAGGGTTTTTAGGTTTAGGCTTTAGGCTTTAGGGCTTTAGGCTGTAGGGTTTAGGGTCTTAGGGTACTATCATCCTTAAGGCCTCGTAAATCCTAGAACTCTGCCCTAAACCCTTTTGAAGGAAGTCTTGCGGCCTCCACCCTAAACCCTGCTGAATCCCTTTGCGCTAAACCCGAAACCCTAAACTTTAAACCCGACACCCTAAACCCGAAATCCTCAACCCGAAACCTCTATAGTACCCCTTAAAAGGAACCCTCCTAAACCCTAAGCTGAAGCACAAAAAACGAAGGCCGAAACCCGAAACCCGAAACCTAAACCCTAAACCCTAAACCCTAAACCCTAAACCCTAAACCCTAAACCCTAAACCCTAAACCCTAAACCGTCTTTGAAGGACTTCCAGTGCAAGGAGCGGTTGGGTGTGGGCTCCTACGGCGAGGCCGGTGGGTTCGGGGAGTTTGGGGGGGTGTAGGGTTTAGGGTTGGGGGTTTGGGGTTTAGGGTTTAGGGTTTAGGGTTTAGGGTTTGGGGGTTGGGGGTTTAGGGTTTAGGGTTTGGGGGTTGAGGGTTTCCGGCTTGAAATT